CTTGGAGTACTATTTTACTGAAAGAAATCGTCGCGTGCGTCGCGTCGGTGGATTTGGAAAATATTTATTTTTATTTTTTTTTACTAACAATTATTTATGTAATAATGATAATGTTAAAGCACTTAACAAAACATGGTATACCAAATCTCAAAACAGTTCGCCACTTGGGTTCTTAAAATATTTTAAAAGTTGTGTTACTTTTTTAAAATTTGGTGCCCTCTAACGTACAAACGAGGAACTTTTGTATAGAGGTAAATTGTGTTCAATAAAGTGTTCAATAAACTTACTTTAATTTCAAAAATACTAGTAGTTCTATGTCCAGGGAATATTGGGACACTCTGTATACAGATTAAATAACCGAACAATGCCACACTCATGGATTTTATCTGAAAATCAAAATAGTTTCTTGTCCATCACGTTCCTCTGTCAGCTGTCAAAACGATTAAATCGCCATTTTAGGATGCCCAGTAAACGAGCCTCGACCATTTTCTTCCGCAACAATACCAATGATTCCGCAATTATTTCGCATTAATTCCCAATTCGCAACCCTAAACTTGCTTTCCTCCTCGCTCCTCGCCTAATTCAATTAGTAAGCGACAAAACAGATGGCGCCACAAAAAGCAACATCGCGAAATATTGTTTAATTTATGTAGGATGCTGATTAAAATTGTGCATGCGCTTGCAGCCAACAGTCTAAAAGTTAATGGTTCTGCCACTGGAACGAACTAAATACGTTTTATTAATGGGATATTTTTGACTGGACGAATGCATGACAAGGATTCCTGGAGGATAACAGTTTTTAATAATTTATTAATCAGGTTTTATTTTTTATGCAATGGAAATTAATACCGAATAGAAAAGATGTCTCCTATCCACGTCAGTTATAATTAACAAATCGTTTAAGCATATACAGGGTCGCTTTTATGTATGGAAACGGTCGATTATTAGGTAAAATATAGGAGGTGCCGCAAAAAGTTAAATACAAAAGTTATATGATTTTTAAATATCTATTAGCGAGTAATAAATTTAAGTATACTGTTTCGCTCATAAAGTCGTGGCACATCAAAGTTTCAATTTTTTAAATAGAACCCTCTGTATATTATTGCATATTACAATTTTTCCTTCAATTCTAAGCAAAAATCGAAATACACACAAGGTACCTCAAACTAACCGTTTCCGAGTTATTGATTTTGGAACATATCATTTAAACAATTTGATTTAATTAATTTCGATATGTTCAGTTTTATTTAACGATGCTATTCTGCCAAAACTGTGATACTTCATGATATTTGACATTAATTATTTATTAAGTTAACAGATATATAGATGTATAAAATGAGATTATATCAAGTCAGGAAATTACAAAATGTTCGTTTAACATTTCAATTCTTCAATTTATGTACATTGTGTATTACGATTATTGCTTAAAATAGAAGGAAGAATTGCATTGCAATAATATACAGGGGGTTTTATTAAAAAAAAGTTTGATGTGCCAGAACTTTATGACCGACCCTGTATACTTAAATTTACTATTTTTGAATGTCTGGAGTGCGGTAGACAGATAACATCACGTATCGGGCTTTTCAGTCACAGAAAAGCTCATGAAAGAAAACGCCTTGCGTGACCATCTTCTGATGCGTGTCAAATACTCGTCAGCGAGTAATGGCGGTATGTATGGTATGGTAAATTTACTAGTAGCTAATAGGCATTTAAAAACTGATTACAACAGTATCACAGTTTCGGCAGAATGGCATCATTAAATGAAACTGAACATTATTGAAATTAATAATTACATATATCAAATTGTTTAAGTCATATGTTCAAAAGTCAATAAATCGGTAACGGTTGGTTTGAGGTACATTGAGTGTATTTCGATTTTTGCTTACAATTGAAGGAAGAATTGAAATATGCAATAATATACAGGGGGTTCTATTTAAAAAAAAATGAAACGAAAAAAAAGTTCCACGACTTTATGACCGACCCTTAACAACTTAAATGAATTACTCGCTAATAGATATTTAAAAATTCTATAACTTTTGTATTTAGCTTCTTGCGGTACCTCCTATATTTTACCTAATAATCGACCGTTTCCGTACATAACAGCGACCCTGTATAAAATCTTTATACAGGGTGTCCCAGAAATAAGTGCAAATATTTTAACTGGTAGTATAGTTCAACCCCAGAAATACGCCTATGAGGTTTTTCGCTTGAAAAAATTAGAAAATGAAATTTTTGCAAAAATTTTTGGATTTTTTTAGTTTTTAGTTAAAAAACATAATTTCTTGTTAATATGTCAACATATTCTCAAAATTTTAGCAAAAAATAATTTTTTGGGAAATTTTCAAAGTAAAAGAACTCCGTTATTTTGGACTTATTTGAAAAACGATAAAGAGAAAATATGTATCTTGTATCGAGATCTACCGCCCCTTAAAATACTTGGACTTATTTGTGGGACACCATGTATAGTTTCATTACGCATATTTATGTCCAGGTAATGATTAATATATCTGGTGTTTCTCAAAAGTGTCTTCCTAACTTTTTTTTACAGATAAAACGAAATTTGGTATGTCAGTTTGTCAGTATATGACATAAATCGGGATTTATTGACGTATTCAATTACTTTCGGTCACTTCCTGTTTCACTGGAAATGACTATAACTTTTGATTTTTAAATGGTAACCCGGTGTTTTTTTATATTATACAGGGTGGCCTAACCAAAAAGATCTATATTAGGATTTTGGTTTGTGATTTTCATTTTATTTTTTTTTATAGTAACGCACATTTTGAAAACATTTTTGTCATCATACAGGGTGATTCAAACGCATTTTCAAACTAAAGATGTATATTTTTAAAGGAATACTATGTATTTTTATAGTTCAGTGCCTTTAATTTTTCATTCCAAAAATACCATAATTGCATATACCATATGATCAAAAAAAAAAGGCGTCAGCGATGGCTATAAAATAAAGATCATTCGAATGTCATCGATTTTCATTTTCAATTCAATTGGACGCCGTTTTTTTTTCGATCTTACAGTGGTCATCCTAGTGGCTTTTGAAATATAACTGTTTTTAAACTAAGTTTACTGCTTATTTAATGTTCTCGACAATTGTAAATTCAAAAAAATTTAATTTTTTAAAATATTTTTTAGCCGGAGTATTTTTGCAATATTGTTTGATATTTACAGGCTGAGTCAAAACTAAATGTATTTTTTTCCTCTATTTTAAATGAATCACCCTATTCTTTTTATCATAATCGAACGAAGTTTTGTTTAATCTTTTTATTTTATTAAGCACTTCCTATACATAAAATCTATATTTAATGAGGAAATTGTGTTTTTTTAAGTATAAAACAGGATTTGACTTCCGCTCTTTCAAGAGAAGATTACTAAAAGTGTCATACCTATCTACAGCAAAGTAGAAAAACCTTTTAGTTAACTCAATAATACATTTTTCACGTGGCGAATTAATAAATTTAAAAAAAATATTTTCTCATAATGTTCTGTACCTAGTCTATATCTAACAGTTTTTGAAATTAATGAGTCTTAGGTGATACAAGTTTTCAATAATTTATTAATTAGTTTATTTTATTTTTCACCGTTTCAAAGAATAAATAATAATTTTATCGTGGAAAGGATTATCGAGTTATCCCTAACCATGGTGGATGATCGCCATAATCTGTATTAAATTTATTTATGGACTGCAAACATGCAGGTTTTATTAAGGTCATAAATTCTCCCTTTTATGGTTACAATGTAGTTTGGCGCCTGTAATACACCTTATGATGTTATTTTTGAGGGAATCACTTTGCATTACTCGTATAAAATATTTTATTTATCTATAGGAAAAGTTACAAAACAAACTAATTTGTGTGTCACGGCCTCGAATTTTTACTCTCATGGCGCGTAAAGAAATTTCACTCTAAAAACCACCCATAAAAATAATTTTGTAGAGTTATTTTTAAAAACAAATGTTAAGTCAATAAAGGATATTTATTTATTCTATAAATATTTATTATTTGAGATTAAAACTCGGAATAAAATATAAATATTAGTTATGTTGTTATGGGATCTTTAAATATAATTAGACTTTTTTAACGACCTTTTTTAATCCCTTTAAGTTACCTGGTAAGAAATCTGTGCACGTACCACTATTGTTACAGGTTAATTCGTTAAACAAATATGTTACATAAATTAGAAACGCTAAAATTTGAATGGCATTACTTGGGTATTATTGGCATTATATTGAAATTAGTAGAAATTTTTTTGGGGGGGCATTGCTCGTGGTACTAGTGGTATTATATTTCAAAAACCTCAGTGGCGCAGGGTTTTTGCACTTCAGAGGCGGGCTGTGGGAGTTGTCGGAGGATTGGGCTACAGGGATGATTGCAGGGAAACTTTAAAAATATTAAATATACTTACTCTCCCAAATCTTTATATATTAGAAAATATATTATATGTTAAAATCAATACAGAAAAATATCTCACAAATGCTCAGCGCGGCTCTCATGACACTCGTAGGGCGGAACACCTCAGTATCCCTATACATAGGTTAGAAAGGTCTCGAGATGGAGCTAGATACTGGGGTGTGAAGTTTTATAATAAACTCCCGGATGGGTATAAACTATTGTCCGATGAGGTGTTTAAGGGTAGGGTTCGTGGCTGGTTACTTGAAACCGATGATTCGAGGGAGTTTCTTTCAAGTGATATACATATTAATCTCACTTGATGAAGGGCATTATTCGTGGTATTAGTGGTATTACATTGGAATTAGTTTGACATTAGTGGGGAATTAATTGAGACATTTTAGTAATTAATTTGAATTTTTGGCATTGGTTTACAGAAATTTGTCAGCGGTTTTCTCCTCGGTGGGAATTTCAAGTAAAAAGCATAGGTTGGCCGGTTGATACTGAATAGGCCGTGCTTTATAGTGAATAGTTCAAGTTGCCTGTCTTGTCTTGAATGTACTGTTCTATAGTATTACTAATTATCTGAATTTACAGGGTCCAAATTGGCATGGTTGTTCTGGTGTTCACACGCACATGACCAACACCCGCATCACGGACATAGAAATTGTAGAACGTCGTTATCCTGTGCACGTGAAAGTGTTCACACTTAGAAAAGACAGTGGCGGAGTCGGTAAATTCAGTGGTGGAGATGGAGTACACAGGGAATTGTTGTTTAGGGCTCCACTAATGCTGTCCGTTTTGACGGAGAGGAGAGTATTGGCACCTTATGGATTAGAAGGTAAGAAAAATAGTACCTAGTTCTATTCAAAACTAAAATATTTGTTTAAATCTGTTAAGTTTTTTGTGATAATAAATCATTTTTTTCATCATAATTTTTTAATCGGATCGATAATATGTTATTATTATGTCATGATTATGTCACATTATTAAGATAATATAAGTTAGATTGTAACATTATATTTTGTTAATTAAAGGAGATAGTTATACAAAACCTGAGGTAGCACAAATACAAGAGATAAGTAACTGCAATTAATATTTTACCAAGACAATTTTTTTTTATTAAATTCTTTAATTTTGGAGTTACAAAAATAAAATATCCAAAAAATGTAACAGGTTAAAAAAATAATCAAACTAATTTAAAAAAGCAGTAAATTTAGGTAACTTACAACCACACAATCTTGTGCCTCACAACCACATAACCAGTGTTCACTTTTATAAACATTTTCACTAAAATCACGAATACCCAATAGTTTGTATTTTTTCTGAATCCACAATAGACCTGAAGGATGATTGCTATTTGCGAATTATATTATGTATATTATATCGCGAATTAGATGTGTTTAAAAAACCGCATCACCCACCGACTAAAGGCCGATTCTCATTAGAGCAGCATCAAGCATCGCGTCGCAGCGCAGCGCGGCACAATAAAATGCTGCTTCCAGTTGTCTACATGTTATTAAATGACACCGTTCCTACTTAACCAGCGCAACGCCGCGCAGAGCAGCGCTTTACAAAGTAGCAAAATTTTTGTTCTTTCCAAGGCACTGGAACGCAGCATGCTGCTTATTAGCGCACTGCTCTGCTGCTAGCATCGGAAGGTTTTTCATCGAAATTTAGTATTCCTCTTAGTTAAACGTGTGTGTACAAGTTCAAATAACTGGTTAAATTTTTGAGGTGTCATTCTATAATATTTATAAAATTTCCTTTCATCTTCTTGAAGTCTCCCGAAGAAGGTTTGAAATTCGCTTTCCTCCAACTTCGCTCGAAATTTATCATGCACCCAATATCTTCTTTTCTTTTTTTTTACGTTTTGCTCATGTTCATGACATATGATTGATAAAAATATCATATCGTCTGAGGACGTAGTAGACGTCCCTTTCGTCACCAACATTATCACCAACTAAAATTATTTTTGCTGCTGGTTGGTTCGATTGCTGCTAGATGCTGTTCAAGTGAGAATACAATTTTAAAAACGCTGCTTGTGCTGCGCCGCGCTGCGCTGCGACGCGATGCTTGATGCTGCTCTAATGTGAATTCACCTTAAAACTGCAAACGGGAGACGTAATCGCGGCCAGAAAGTTTGCTGACCTGGGCTCGCGTTTAGCGCGGCGTTCAAGATGTAACCAAGGCATTACAGTATTACAATATTTTAAAGGGATGCGACGCATCACCCGCATCAATGGAGGCTTCGCCGCTGGTTGTTGACTACTTTTTAGAAACTTATTTGGTTTTAAAAAAATAAACTCTGAAGTATTATGGCGCTTATGCAAAGCAAACCGAAATGCTGCATTGAACTCCGAAAGGCTAATTTTAAATAATGGCCTTTTTCTAAATTAATTGATTCGATTTTTCATTTGCGCCCGTACAGCAAAAGCGTTTTCTCTTATTATGAGTCATAGCTGGAAGCGAATTAATTTTTTGCCCGGATTTTCTTTTTTTTTTCGACCATTTGTTCAAATTTGAACTGGTTAGATCTGATATTTAGTTTGATTTTTATCTTTCTGGAATTGGTTGGTTTGTGTTTTATAACTATTATTTAGTATGATTATTTTCTTTGCGATCTTTTATATTTTTAGTAAGATCTATTTCGTCAGTATTATTAAGCGACTGATAATACAACTAAACTTTTAGTTCGAGGGCGCGATTTTTAAATTCATTGTTGTCAATTATGGACATATTCGGCGCCGGCTTGACTAACTGGAATTTAAATTTCCCGTTAGGGATTCAGGTGGTAGCTCTGCTGTAAAAATGTGAAGTTGCCACATTTATTTATTTATTTTCTGACAATGTCATTCGTTTTGACACTCTAATTAATCATTCATTGATTGTTTTGGAATACTATAACGTTTTCTAAACACTACCACTGCGAACGGCAGCTTTTCATCGGAGAGCAGTCGTGGATACTGTATATCACTGGAGAAAAACTAATTAACAATAAAAAATCAAAAATATAAATATTGGGCGCCAGGCATGAACAGAGAAAGAAAAGACAGTTGTATATTACTTAAAATTAATGACTATATTTATTCATGGATTCTGTTGATAGTAAATGACATTGTTGAACTCTAGTAATTATAGTGGTTATATGTCGATGAAAGTTATATTAAAAATAGTATTAAATATGTTCTATGAAAAAGACTACGGAAAAATACAATATAGATAAAGCTATAGGAAAATATAAAAGGTAGCATTATTTTATTTAATTTATTATCTTTTATACGATGTTAAATCTGACATGTTGCAAGTCGTAGATTCTAGAATCTATGTCCGGTAATTCATCTTTAAACTCACGCAATTGATATATACAGAAAGTAATACTATTACAAGATATATTCGTAATGAAACCTAAGATCTAAATCATATTTTAAATACTAAACTGACATAAAAAGGTTAACCACCACTAGATGTAAAGTCTGTACGATATTATTCAAGACTGAAAATGTAAACATAAAAACCAGAACTTAAATCTAAACTTAGCTGTTCATTCTTGAGGCAATCCTGCTTCCAAACAGTACAGCGTGACTGTGAGACTTGTATCTCTGCACTGTCTCTCAGCTTCACTGTTGGCCAATACAACAAAAGAGGCCAGGATGAGGACACCATAAACTAATACAGCCGTAATTATCGACTAGGCTTAGAAATAGGAACGAAGCAGTATGGGGATTACGCTAGACCCATACTGTGGGAATCTATACATAGGATAAACTATCCATACATAGGACATCCCTCCATAGGACACCTGTCCATAGGAAAACTGTACATGGGAACTACTACCCCTACATGGGATATTGTCCGTACCTTGGACCCTAAAAATACGAAACTCGTGTTTAAAACCTACCTAGGTGTAATAAACACAATAAACCTACCTCGAAATACCTCCGAGGGCTCAATAATAAACAAAGAAACTGTCCTTTCTTCCATTTAACATTCTGGAGGACAAAAGAAAACCAACGTGCCAGCAAACACCAAATACGAGTTGAGTCGAGCTAATCCAAAACTCTACCCTAAAAATACTCAGTAATAATAACGAATCTAAAAAAGACAATATCTCGTCTTTACCTGTTGCCTTGAAATAGCAGCTGATTCAGATTATGCAGCAAGATTTAAATAATTACCATTTCTAAAAGTCGGGTTACTGATGGCGACAGAGCGGCAAAACCAAAAGTGAGGTTAAAGCGCAGAGAGACGCCTTGAAACGATGTTGACAGCCCTCCATAGAGCAGCGAAACGATCACAGGGTTGTCGACTAGAGAACGTTAAAATTACGCCAAGCGTGTCAAATAAATTATCAGGCCTGAACGATACGGAATCCGGTGACAATATCCCAGACATCATATATCATATACAAAAGACATGTAACGAACTAAAAACGTTACAATAATTTAAGGTTAAAAATGTTTACTAGCAGATCTTGAAGCCGAACATTGTCCTTTTTAGAACCTTTTTTAGTGCGAAGTGTACAAGATAGCTGAATAGCTGATGCAAAAAGCTTACCGTAATTTTATTAGATTATTTTAAACGGGAAAGCTGTAGTAATGGCCCTTTATATCCCTTAAGTGCTGTTAAGGAGGTGACTTTTGTTGATGTAAATAATAACTGTTTATATATTTATAATTTATTTATTTTTATTTCTTAAAATATTTTGATTAAAAGAAAATATGTAAAAGTGGGCAACGCTCTGCCGATCAAGCGTAATCACGCGACTAAAAGTTTAATTGGCATGAACTATATACTCGGAAGTAGACGATTATATAGGAAAGAAGACGATTGCGTAATATCATAAACCTAGATCATATATACTTACGTGGATAAATCAACGCCATAAGTTTAGCATTAAAAAATATGTCCCCAACATCTCGACATGCCATTTTCAAACCTTCTTTATTGCACTTATGAAACGTTCAATAGGTTTGTCTTTCTCGAGGACCTGACTTTACGCATGCGCATTAAAAGTGGCACGTATTTCCAAAATAATATCAATTTTATCCGGTTTAGAAAGTACAAATTATACATTGTTATGGAAACCAACTTTTCATTGTCATCATATTGTCATAATCTTGTCATAATCATATGTCATAATGTTATTTCCATTGTGTAACGACGCTTGTTTTTTGCGTTTTTTATTTTAAACATTGTATTAATTACTCTTTTATCGACCGATTTTATATAGCCAAGGATTCAAGTGTGTTTAGTGAGAAGGTAATTTTAAGTTTGTGCAATTATATTTCTATTTTTTATACGTTGGGTTTTAATTTTTGGGTAAATATTCGTAAAAATGACAAGAATGTGTTTGGTGTGTGGAAATTATAATATAAATGTCGCCGAATTATCTTTTCACAGGCAAGTAAAGAGTATTCAGGTATTCTTTTATGTATATTAAACCACATGATACTTTCTGGTTAGATTTCCTAAGAATATTGATATTCGTACGGAGTGGTTAATTTATTTTTTATATAATTTAATTTTTGTGTCAGTAACATTCAATTATTGTTCCAATATATGCATTTTACAAATTAAATTTTTAAAATTTATGTTCAAATTTGGCGCGTGGGCGATAGGTCTTCGACAAGGATAGATAGAGTAGAAGCACCGCGTGTGCAACAAAAAAAAGAAGATAAATGGAAGTCGTTGATATGTTTGGGACAGTTTCCATAGTGATTTACTCATCCACGTAAGTATATATGATCTGGGATCATAAATTATACGAAATATAAATGTACGTACGTCGGTGATAAGGTCGCAAATGAAGGGTCATGTTATTAATTAGGGAGAATGACT